GGGCCAGCAGGGCCCTCACCAGTTACAGGCTAGCATGGACGCTGGAAATTATACAACCACAACAAAGACACCAACAAGCTCCTGGCTGTGAGGCTATGAGCAGGTGACTCAGCTTCTCTGGGCTGCTGCAAACAGCGCTCAAAACAGTGCAGGGAGACGCAGCAAGAAGAATGACAATGACACACTGACACACACATGCACGCACACACACAGAACAGAGTGTACCAGCCGTGCTGTGTGAAGTAGCGGCCATCCTCACTGTGCGGGACTTGAACCTCTCACAGAGGAGGAGGTTGGGGGAGGAGGGGCCTGTGCCCGGTCCCTCCCTCCTGTCCTGTTCCCCCCCCCCCCCCCACTCACCCAGGATGTCCAGCCACTCCTCAGGGGCTGGGGCTGGCGCTGGCTCCAGCTCCAAGGCTGCCAGAAACTCTCGGGCCAGGGCTCCGGGCTGCTCTGTTTCCTCCGCTGCTGGCTGTCCCATGTCCTCCAGCGGCGGCAGCTCGCTCAAGTCCCCGTTCTCTTCTTCCTCCTCATCTTCCTCCTCCTCCCCTTCTGCATCTTCGACGCCATCCAGCACCTCAAAGTCCTCCAGTGGAGGGACTCCAGTGGCCGGCGGGGCAGCAGGCTCAGAGGGCTCGGCCCAGGATGCCATGCTGGGGACGGGAACTGGCCCTGGGGACAGAGGCGGATGGGGGTCAGACGGCATGGAAAATGCTCTACTGCAGCCACTCCATGCTTTGGTACAGCTTGCTGTATGACTCAGTTTCCCAACTCCACAGCTGCCTGCAAGCAGGCTGAGCATCAGATCCTGAGCACCTGATTCAGGAACCCTGACCTATTCGGGTGTGAGCCTGCCTGTGTGTGTGAACTCGGTTTCAAGCTCTCCTCTGGCTTTTTCATTCAAGGCTGACACTCTACCACTTGAACCACAGCTCTACTTCCTGCCTTTTGCTGGCTGAGGCCTCACACAACTCCTTGCCCCGGCTGGCTTTGAACCTCGATCCTCAGCTCTCAACCTCCTGAGAAACCCGGGATTACAGATGGGCAGCCCAGGAACGAGGAAATAGGCCACTGCTGCACAAAGGATGCCCAGGCCAGAGGGGCAAAGACACGGGCACAAGGTCACACAGAGAGCGGGGGCTGCAGGGTCCGGAATCCAAGAGGGATGAGGGCGGGGTGCAGCCCCTGACACCCCCCCTCCCCGCCAGGCCTGGCCGGGCCGGGCCCTGGGTCCCCGAGCTGTCCACCTCTGGCCTAGGCTTCCTCCTCCTAAAGAGGCCCCCACCCCAAGACCCGAGTGCGGGTGCGGAGCGCCCCCCTGGCCCGCCCCCCCGCCCGCACCTCCCCAGCTCGCACCTCCCCCGCCCCCCCCGCCCCCCGCCCGCACCTCCCCCGCCCCCCCGCCCGCCCCTCCCCGCCCCCCCCCCGCCCCGCACCTCCCCCGCCCCCCCCCGCCCGCACCTCCCCCGCCCCCCCCCGCCCGCCCCTCCTCCGCCCCCCCGCCCGCCCCTCCCCGGCCCCCCCGCCCGCACCTCCCCGCCCCCCCCCGCCCGCACCTCCCCCGCCCCCCCCCGCCCGCACCTCCTCCGCCCCCCCGCCCGCCCCTCCCCGCCCCCCCCCCCCCCGCCCCGGCGACGCATTCTGCAGCGGCCCTGACCCCGGCCTGCCGTCGGGCCGCGGCCGGGCCTGCGGGGAGCGCCGCCCCACGACGGGCCCCCCGGGCCGCGGCCCGATCCCCGCGTCCGGCCCGCACCTGCCCGGCCGCTTCCGGGTCCGACCCCGGCCCCCCGACCCCCGCCCACAATGCCCCGCGCGGCGCGCGCCGCCCCCGCCCCCGGCCGCCCCGGCGCTGCGCCCCGACCCCCGCCGCCCGCGCGGCCCCGCCACGCCGCCCCGCCACGCCGCCCCGCGCCCGACCCCGCGCCCCGCGCGCGGCCCCCCCGCCCCGCGGCCGCCGAGCGCCCCGCCGCGCGGCCCCGCCGCCCGGCCCCGCCGCGCCCCGCACGCGCCCCCGCACACGTGCCTGCCGTCCGGGACCCCCGCCTGGGGTCCTGCGCCCCCTCCCCGCCCCCAGCCGCGGCCGCCGCGCCTCGGGAACCGGGCTCGGCCTCGGGCCCCGCCCCGCCGCGCCATTGGCCGCCGCCGCCGCCAGCGCGGCGCCCGTTGGCTGGCATACACGTCCGTCCCGGGCGCGGGCCCCGCCCCCTTCCTGCTTGGCGAGGCGAGGCGTTCTTAAAGGCGCAGGAGCCTGGGGGGGGGGGGGGGGGAGCCCGCGAGCGGCGGACGGCGACCCCTTCGCGGCTCGCTGAGCTCCCGCGGCTGGAAAAACACTGACCGCGCTCGCCTAAGTGCAGGCGCCCTCCCGAAGGCCCCGGGACCCCAACCCCGAGGTTCTGGGGGGAGGGGGTGACGGGACACCCCCGCGGCGCCTGTGCGTGCGGGAGGCGCCCGGTGCAGGGCTTCGGACACGCGCCTCCCCGCGTGCACGTTCGCAGTGGTGATGGGATGCTTGGGGTGTGCCAGGCCTGGGACTCGAACTCAGGGCCTGGCGCTGTGCCTGGCCTTTTGCACTCCAGACTGGCGCCATGCCCCTTGAACCAGAGCTCCATTTCCGGCTACTCTCCACTGATCACAGCCTGCCTGGGCTGGATTCGAACCCCCGTCCTCAGGTCTCAACCTTCTGAATAGCTGGGATTGATCACAGACAGAGCAGAGCCCGCAGAGCCTGCTTCGGGGGCTGATTGTTGCCCCCTTTCTGCCCAGCTTTGTGAGCTCTGTAATTGAGTCACACTCTGGCTTTAGGAGCTGCCTTAGTTTCTCAGGTCACTACTGGCACTGCCACCTTCAGGAAGCCCTCCCTGAACTCTGCCAGGCTGGCTTCCTTGTATCTGCAGTCAGCATTTGACAGCCTTGCACTTGCTAGGGAGCCTCCGAGCGGCCCCCTCCCGCCCCCCACTGCTTCCATAGTTGCAATTACCTTATCTTCTTGGTGAACCCAACCTTCCCAGATCCTGCTCACTGCCCCAAATGGACTTTGATTACTAGATCAATGGTCTCTCTCTCTCTCTCACACACACACACACACTTTCTCCTTTGGCTGTGTTTAGGTGGTTTATTTTTGGTTTGTTTGCTTTTTGTTGTTTTTTTGTCAGTCATGGTGCTTGAATGTGGGGCCTGGATGCTGTTCCTGAGCTCTTTTGCTCAAGGCTAGCATTGCTCTATCACTTGAGCCACAAGCTCCACTTCTTGTTTTCTGATGGTTAATTGGAAATGAATCTCCTGGACTTTTCTGCCCCAGCTGACTTTGAACCTCGATATTCAGCCCACAGTCTCCTGAGTAGCTAGGATTATAGGCGTGAGCCATCTGCACCCAGATTCTCTCTTTAGAGACAGAGTCTCACTATGTTTCCCAGGTTGGCCTTAGCCTCCTGAATAGCTAGGACCACAAGTGCGTGCCAGGGAATCACCTTTCGCTTTATAAAGAAAACCAGGCCCGGTAGAGTGTGTGACATGGGCCAAGGTCTGGTCTGGGTGACTGAGAGCTGGTTGCACCCTGGCCTTTCCCCACTAGAGCCCAGGAGTGGGATGTGGCATAACCATGGGCAGATAAGCCCTGACTGCACAGCTTGATCATCCTCCATAGGAAATGAAACAGAAGGTGTGGAGGAAGGCTCCCCGCCCAAACAGGCCTCCCACAGCCTATGACAACCTGGACCTTACTCAGACTCAGGACAGAGGAGTCCCCACAGACCGTGCCCTCTCCCTGGAACACAAAGAGGAAGGAAACATTTTATCTCCAGGTCACTGTGCACGGGACATTTGGGCCCAGTCAAGAGTCTGGCTTGATGGGTGGTGCCCAGATGAACACTACAAAGGAGCAATAGAAAGCATGCTCTCTCAGCCTAAGCTCCACGGCTGGACTGCAGGCCAAGTTACATGTCTGCTGCGTCCCTTTCTCGGCACTGGCTGAGCCTGGCTCACTGAGCTAGGATTACAGGTGTGAGCCATTGATGGGCACCTTTAGAATCAAGGAGGCATTGGTTCTAGGAAGGGTGAGTGAATGACAGTAAATAATACCACAAGGCTGGATGTCAGTGGCTTAAGCCTGGAATCCTAGGTACTCAGGAGGATGAGATCTGAGGATCACGGTTCAAAGCCAGCCCAGGCAGGAAAGGCCCTGAGACTCTGATCTCCAATAAACCATTAGAAAACCAGAAGTGGTGCTGTGTGTGGCTCAAGTGGTAGAGAGCTGGCCTTGAGCTGAAGAGCTGAGGGGCAGCGCCCAGGCCCAGAGTTCAAGACCCACAACCGACAACAAAACCAACAGCAGTTCGTGACAGCCCACCTGATCAACACCTGTGAGTTCATAGTCATACCAATACTTGAAAAAGTACTTAACTGAACAACAGCCAGCTCCTGTTTACAGAACAGCAATAAAACCACAAACCACGGAGGCAAGCAACTCCTTAATAACTGTTGCCAGGAAAAAACATAGGAGGATGCTAACATCAGTGGCGTAAAAACAGACTTAAACACAGAACGCAACAGCCAGTCACCCTGGCTACTCAGGAGGCTGAGAGCTGAGGACCGAGGTTCGAGGCCAGCCCCCGGGGCCGGAAAATCAGGCAACTCAACCTCCAATCAACCACCCAGAGGCCCAGGAGCGGCGGTGTGGCGCGGGCCGCGCACCGGCCCTGGTGGAAAAGCTCCGGGGCAGCGCGGCCGCGAGCGGGGCCCCTCGATCGCGCAGGCCCGAGGCGCCAGCGGGCCAGCCCCGCCGCGGCCTGGCCCCGCCGCGGCCTCTCCACCCGCACGCGCCCGCTTCCGGGATGCCTCGGGACGCCGGCGCTGCGCGACGGCGCGTGCGCGGCGGCGCCTGCCGCATTGGCTGCTGCCTGTGACGCACTTTGCAAACCGAAGCTGCCCGTAAGCCCCGCCCTTTCCGGCCGCGCCGGCCGACCTCGGTGAGAACGTCGTCGCGGTGCGTGATGACGTAGCGGCGGCGGCGCGGGCGCCATCCCGGAAGCCTGAGCCAAGCTGCCAGATGTGCAGGTGCCGCCGCCACCGACGCCGTGGCTGAGTTGGGGTTCGGGCTCGGGGGGCCCCGGGGCCGTGGGGTGGGGCGCGCCGCTGCCCGCAGCTGGGCCCTCCTGCGGCGCCCGGGCCTCAGTTTCCCCCCTCGCCGCGCCGCGCGGGCGGAGGCCGCGGCCGTGGCGCGGGAGCCGGGGCCCTGACCGAGCGCCGCGTCGCCCCCGCCGCTGCCTCAGTTTCTCCGCCGGGGCCCGCAGCCCGGAGCCCCTGGGGCCGCGGCGGAGCGTGAAGTCCTGAAGCCAGAGGCTCGGGACGCACAGGGCGGAGGGAAGCGTGCTCCCCGCGCCTCCCGGGCTGGCCTCGAGCTCCCGGCCTCCAGCCCGCGTCCCACCCAAGCGCCGTGAGGTCTGGGGTCTTATGGACGCGGGGAGAGGCCGGCACTGTCCCAAGGTCACGCGGCCTCCGGGGCCGCAGAGCCTGGCTGGCCCTTTGCGGTGCCTGAGGCCCGGGTGCACTGCGAATCCGGGCTGGCAGCCCCTCCAAGAAAGGCCCTATCCGCAGGTTCATGTCCTGCCTGGCAGGCGCTGTCAGTCTGGCCCCAGTGCCTGACTGCACTCCTTTAACCCAGCTGCTTTCTTTTTTGAGGGTGGGGACAAGGACTCGCACTGTATCCCAGGCTAGTATAAACCTTTTCTTCCTTTCTCTCTTCTTTCTGTGGTATTGAGCTTCGGGCTGTCTAGACAGTCACTCTTACCTACAAAGCCACCTCTCCTTTTTGTATTTTTGTCGGTCGTGGGGCTTGAACTCTGGGCCTGGGCGCTGTCTCTCAGCTCTTCAGCTCAAGGCGAGCGCTCTACCACTTGAGCTACAGCGCCACTTGCAGCTTTTTTTGTGTATGTGGTGCTGAGGAATCGAACCCAGGGCCTCATGATGTCAAGCAGTCACTCTACCACTGAGCCACCTTCCCAACTCCTGTTTTCTTATTTCTTTATTATTGTTTGGGTTGGTATCAGAGCTTGAACTTTAGACCTTGCCTTATGCTTTTGCTAGTTTTGGGTGTATGTGTACGTATGTGCATGCTAGGCTTAAACTGCAGGCCAGGCTACTCTCCCTCAGCTTTTTTTTTGTCAGTCCTGGGGTTTGAACTCTGGGCCTGAGCACTGTCCCTGAGCTTTTTGCTCAAGGTTAGTGCTCTACCATTTGAGCCACAGCTACACTTCGGCTTTTTCTGTTTGGGGTGTGAGGAATGGAACCCAGGACCTCATGCATGTGAGGTGAGCACTCTACCACTGAGCCACCTTCCCAGCTCCTCCCTCAGCTTTTTCACTCACTCTGCTACCTGAGCCATGCTCCTGTGTGAATGTTTACCAGTGGAGAGGAGGCTTCTCTGTTGGTCATTAGATGTGTTCATCCTGCCATGTGCCATGGCTCACTTCTGTAGTCCCTGCTACTTAGAAAGCTGAGATTTGAGATGATAATGGTTTGGAGCCAGCCCAGGCACCAATGTTTAGCAAACAAAGCTCAGCACCCATGCCCTGAGTTCAGGTGTCAGTACAGGCACCAAATAGAATAAAATTGAAAGCCAGGTGCTGTGGCTCATGCCTGTCATCCTAGCTACTCAGAAGGCTGAGATCTGAGGATCGCAGTTCAAAGCCATCCCAGGTAGGAAAGTCCATGAGACTCTTATTCCACTAACCACCAGAAAACGGGAAGTGGCACTATGGCTTAAGTGATAGAGTGCTCGCCTTGAGCTTTTTGAAAAGCTCAGGGACAGTGCCCAGGCCCACAGTTCAAGCCCCATGACCGACCAAAATAAATAAATAAAATTAAAGCATGCACCAGAACCAAGCATGTCAGGATTATCGTTTTCCCGAAGCCCCTTTGGGTTAGGCTGTGCCTCCCCAGCTGAAGTCAGGGAAGATCCCCACAGCTGTGGGTGGTCTGGTTGTGCCAGGGAAGCTGGGAAGCACAGAGCCATCTGGGAGCCAGCCCCACAGCCTGGCTGAGCACGCCTGGGATTCTTGGCACCTGTCAGATAAGAAAAGTTGGAGGCGAGTTTGGGGAGTTCGGTTTGTTGTCCAGATGTAAGTTCTAACCACCCTTGCCCAGCCCCGGGCCCTGCCCTCCTGGTGCTGGCACTGGCAAAGGGGTCCCTCGATAACCACACGCATTCCGGGAAGAGGTGTGTCCAGGAGCCAGGGGAGACAAGAAGCGACCCACAGCGGCACGGGCTGACACTCGGAAAGCAGAGGCAGGAGGGCTGAGTTCCAGGACAGCTAGATCTGTATTTTATTTGGTGTTGTGCCACTTGAGCCACAGCTCCACTTCTGCCAGCCAATTGGAAATAAGTCTCACTAACTTCCTTCCCCAGACTGGCTTTGAACCATGATCCTCAGATCTCAGCCTCCCGAGTAGCTAGGATGGCAGAAGTGAGCCTCTCACACCCAGCTTCTGTGATGGAATTGTTAACGTGTTGGGTGCACTTTAGACAGGACCCCCTTGTTTTCAGCCATGGCTTTTTGCAGTGTTCAGGTGGGAGCCAGGCCTTGTGTTTGCTAGGTAAGCACTAACCGTGGGGCAGCATCCCGGCCCAGCATGACCCCTTCCAGTCGTCCAAGCACCCCGGGGCAAACCAAGGCTCAGGGGGTAGATGTTGGGGGCCCTCGGTGGTGGCTCACCACCGCCCCGGGCCTCCTCGTTTCAGGCCGTGGAGGAGGAGGAGGAAATGGACACCCCTGACTCCGCCTCGAGGCTTTTCTGCAGCCGGATCCTGAGCATGGTGAACACGGAGGACGTCAACGCCATCATCCTGGCCCAGAAGAACATGTGAGCGGGGATGCCACCGAGGGCGCAGAGGGGTTCACGGCCCCCCCAGTACTCTCATTCCTAACCTGCTTTCCTGGGCCTAGCCAGCCACACTTGTGGAGGACATGAGCAGACCAGACAGCTGGCCACCTCTGGAGCCCATGGACTCCTGGCCCGGCTGCGCGGCCTGGACGGGAATCGGGGCAGGCGGGCTGGAAGGGCCGCTCTGCAGAAGGCTTGGCGGCTGAGCGCGTCTGTCCTGAGCCCCCAGGCTGGGGAGAGCTGGAGGGAGTTCCGAGGTGTAAAGAGCCATGGAGCTGATCCCTTGAAGCCTGGAGTCTCCGGGCCCCAGCTAGGGTAGAGTGAGTGGGGGAGTGGCAGCTGGATCCCAGGCTTGCCGCTCCACTCGCAAGGCAGAGCCTGGGTTCTGTGGCGCTGCCACAGAGAGGAGATCCCAAGCCCATGTAGCTCCTGGCTTTTCTCTTGGGGGCTGGGGACAGAGCCCAGGGCTTATTGTAGGCAGACGATTTTCCCAAGCGGCACCGTAGACCTGGCTCTAGGGCACCCCATGCTCTTGGATGCAGGAAAACCAACCAGGGGGCGGGTGGAGCTGAAGTGGGAGCAGAGCCGTGTTGGGGGTCTCTGAGCTGTGCCACCAGGGTCCCTCCAGCCACAAGGGACTGGAGGCTGTTTGGGCTCAGGGTTTTTCCTGCCGCTTGGGCCAGTGTCTGTGTGGCAGATCCCGGCGTGGTGAGCCTGAGGCTGAGGCTGCCCTGCCCCTCCCAGCAGGATGAAAAGGGCAGGGGGCCGGGCCTCAGGGCCTCCTCCACCTCCAGAAAGGCCGCAGGCTGGTGACCACGCCTTCACCAGATGGGCCTTTGGGATGCATCTAAGAGCCAAACCACACCTAGAAGGATACCCTTGAGTAGGGTTTTCAAGTGGGAATAGGAGTTTGCAGGGCAGGGGGGAGCCGGGCCCAGGGTGGGGAGGCGGGCAGGAGCTCACCGGGTCCACCTCCAGGCTGGACCGCTTTGAGAAGACCAACGAGATGCTGCTGAACTTCAACAACCTGTCCAGCGCCCGCCTGCAGCAGATGAACGAGCGCTTCCTGCACCACACACGCACGCTGGTGGAGATGAAGCGGGACCTGGACAGCATCTTCCGCAGGATCAGGTGGCGGGGCCTGGGGAGGAGGGGAGGGGGTGGAGGGATGGGCTGTGCCTGAGACCCCTCCCCTGTTCTGTGAACACAGCTGCTGTACCTTAGGAAGGGACAGGAAGCAGCCTGCACAGTCGCCCTGTGCATCAGGATAACTTGTGCCAGGGGCTGGGCTTTCAGGAGCTGGGGTGGCGGGGTGCAGACCCTGGCGCCCCTCCCTGCTGGTGGGCCTCAGCCTGAGGAGCCTCCTCACGGAGACCACAGGATGCAGAAGGCACGGGGGGGGGGGGGGCGGGCACTGCTGTGTCCCCCTCCGTGGCGGGCAGCTGGATGGCCACGCAGCTGTGAAGACGGGGCCCTGGGAGGTGTGTGGTCTGCCGCAGCGCTGGCTGGCTCATCCTGCCTCTCCCTCCCCCCCCCAACCCCGCAGGACGCTGAAGGGGAAGCTGGCCAGGCAGCATCCAGAGGCCTTCAGCTGTAAGTGTCACCTGGTACGCGCCCCTGGGCTGCTGTGTTCATAGCCGGGGGCTCCCGGGTCCCCAGAGGCCGGGGCCCCAGAGTGGGGGCTGGGGGGACACGGAGGCCTGGGTTCGCCTGTGGGGCCATGGCAGCTCAGCCAGGTCCTAGCACCCGCAGACCAGGCTGGCCTGAAGCCCACGGCCCCCGCTGCCTATCTCCCAAGGACTGGGGTTACAGGGGTACTGTACCTCACACTGGGCCCTGTCCTCGTTAACCTTAAAAGGATGCCCTCCACCTCCTAGGCCTCAGTCTCCCCTGCTGCTCAGTGTGGGAAGGAGCTCAGTCTCCAGCCAGGCCCAGGCAAAAATCCAACTATCTAAAAAGTAACGCAGGGCTGAGGCATAACTCAAGTGGTAAGGAAACCTGCCCAGCAACCTTGAAGGTAGTTAGACCTAGTAGCCTTCTGTGAGCAGGGGCTACTGTTGGTAAGACCCCCCTCCCCAGCACCGCACGAGGGTCTGACCCACCTCACGGGCCTCCTGCAGACATCCCAGAGGCCTCCCTCCTGGAGGAGGAGGATGAAGACCCCATCCCCCCCAGCATCACCACCACTATCGCCACCTCGGAGCAGAGCACCGGCTCCTGCGACACCAGCCCGGACACCGTCTCACCCTCCCTCAGCCCCGGCTTCGAGGACCTGTCCCATGTGCGGCCTGGCTCCCCTGCGGTTAATGGCCACAGCCAGACAGATGAGGACGAGCTGGGAGGACAGTAGCCCGTCTGGGCCCCAGACAGCTCCGGTGGCGGGGCGCTCCCTGGGTGGGGGTGGGGTGCTGCCTGGCCCTCACCAGTTCTGCCCTCGGGTCTGACATCCAGTGCTCCCTTCTGAGGCTGTGGGCCCCTGGGAGCCCGGATTACCCTTCTTGCCCGCTCCGAACGCCTCTCTTCTGTAGGTCTGGAGCCAGGCCTGGGCTCCATCCCGGCTGGAGCTGGGGCCAGGCACACGGAGCCTGCAGGCTCCGAAGGCTCCAGAGGCCAGCGCGGGGCCCCTGCTCTGCCCCAAGCTGGCCCCGCAGCCCTTCGCTCCGACAGAAGCACCCAGCTTTTTCTCCAGTTGGTACCTAGCGGGTCTCCGGGGCAGGTAGAAGGTAGATGGAGGGCAGGCAAGCTGCGTAGCCCTGCGTGATGAGGCCTGTGCTCCGAGTAGAGGCGCAGACCCCAGTGCGGCCAGAGCCGCGGGCCTCGGGGCCACCAGGGACGGCATTTAAGGGAGTATTTTTGTACCCGATGTTTACGGACGCTGGGGGGAGCTATCAATAAAAGGACTGTTCCTGGGAAGGGGATGCGACCCTGGCTCTGGCTTCTTTTCTCCGGGCAGGTGCAGGGGTGTGGGAGGGGCTCAGGGCGGGCGGGAGCTGGCCGGTGGGCGCGGGCTGGCAGGGCAGGCGGGCGGGCGGGAGGTGGGCGTGGGCACAGCGGGCAGGGCAGGCGCGCGGGCACGGCGGGCAGGCAGGGCAGGCGCACGGGCACGGCGGGCAGGCAGGGCAGGCGCACGGGCACGGCGGCGCAGGCAGGGCACGGCGGGCGCAGGCAGGGCAGGTGCGCGGGCACGGCGGGCAGGCAGGGCAGGCGCACCGGGACGGCGGGCAGGCAGGGCACGGCGGGCGCAGGCAGGGCAGGCGCACCGGGACGGCGGGCAGGCAGGGCAGGCGCACCGGGACGGCGGCGCAGGCAGGGCAGGCACGGCGGGCGCAGGCAGGGCAGGCGCGCGGGCACGGCGGGCACGGCGGGCGGGCAAGGCAGGCGCACCGGGACGGCGGGCAGGCAGGGCACGGCGGGCGCAGGCAGGGCAGGCGCACCGGGACGGCGGGCAGGCAGGGCAGGCGCACCGGGACGGCGGCGCAGGCAGGGCAGGCACGGCGGGCGCAGGCAGGGCAGGCGCGCGGGCACGGCGGGCACGGCGGGCGGGCAGGGCAGGCGCGCGGGCACGGCGGGCACGGCGGGCGGGCAGGGCAGGCGCGCGGGCACGGCGGGCGGGCAGGGCAGGCGCGCGGGCACGGCGGGCAGGGCAGGCGCGCGGGCACGGCGCGCGGGCACGGCGGGCGCGCGGCCTCCCCCAGGAGGTCCAGGAGACTTGTCTCCAGCAAAGCCGTGAGAAGCTGGACGTGGAGCCGAGGCTCAGGCTCCGCGGTGGTGTCGGGCTCGGAGCAAACTTGGTCCCACCCGCAGCACCCAAGGCAGAAAAAGAACCTGGCCGACCTGGGCCGGCCGCGGCCGGGGCGCCAGGACGGGAAGGGGCCCGCTGCCGGGGGCGGGGCCTGGCCCTCCCCCACCCCCGGACAGGCCCGCCCGGCCCGGGTGCCCCGGGCAGCGAACCTCCCCGCTGCTCCGAGGCCACGCCCCCAAACACCTGAAGGGCGTGACCACGCCCTCCCCCGCGTGACGCGACGTGCACGCGCCCACGCGGAAGCGGGCCAGCCCTGCGTTCGTCCGCACGCGCCGCGGCTTCGTGTGCCAGCAACGAATATGGCGTCCGGAGGGCGGGGCCTGGGCGGGGCCTGCAGCGCCGGCGCGGATTGTGACGCGCGCGCGGGGCGTCCCCGGTGCGCAGGCGCCCTCGGCGGAGAACCGGCGGTTTCCGCTTCCGCCGCTCTCTTTCTCCTCCACCCTGCGGCCGAGCGGGTCGGTGGCGTAGGTCTTGCGGGGTGGCGCGGGGCCGAGGGCGGGCTGCGGCGGGCTGCGCGGCCCTGGCGGGCGGGGAGGGCGGCCGCGGCCCGCCGGGCGGTGGGGGGGCTCGCGAGGCGGAGGCCGCGGGCCCCGGCGGCGAGCGCGGCCTCGGGGAGCGGCCCGGGCTGGCGTCCGAGTTAGTGGGGCGGGCGGACTCCGGGGCCTCGCTGGTCCGGCTGAAATGTCCCTGCGGCCCGGCCCGGGTCCGAAGCGCGCGTTCGCGCTCGCCTGGCCCCGTCCGCGTCTCCCGCATGCGCGGCCGGCGCCCGCCGCCGGGCCGCACCCCTTCCCCACCCCGGGCCCCCTGTGTGTGAGGATGGAGCTGAGCCCCGCACCCCCGCCGCCGGGCCGCACCCCTTCCCCACCCCGGGCCCCCTGTGTGTGAGGATGGAGCTGAGCCCCGCACCCCCGCCGCCGGGCCGCACCCCTTCCCCACCCCGGGCCCCCTGTGCGTGAGGGTGGAGCTGAGGCAGGAAGTAGACTGGGGAGGAAAAGAAAATGGAGCATTTAGGGTGAGAGCGGAGTTAACGTGGTAGAGCCCTGAGTTCAAACCCCAATACCCCAGATAACTCCCACCCGTGGCTCACGTCTACAGTCCGTTTAACTCACTCATGCGGCTGAGATCTGAGGACCGAGGTTCCAAGTAAAGCCAGGCCAGGCATTAAGTTCCCGATTAGCCTCACAGCAGAGTTGTTTTTCAAGTGGTAGAAGGTCAACCTGTGGTCAGAATTCTAGTTCTGGCACAACATAAAAACTGCCCAGGCTGGGGCTGGGAAGGTGACTCAGTGGCAGAGCGCTTGCCTTGCATGCCTGAGGCCCTGGGTTCGATTCCTCGGCACCACATAAGCATAAAGAAAAAAGCCGGAAGTGGCGCTGTGGCTCAAGTGGTAGAGCGCTAGCTTTGAGCTGAGGGACAGTGCCTAGGCCCAGAGTTCGGGCCCCACGACCGGACCCAAAGAAAAAAAAAAAACTGCCCAGGCTTGGAAGGTGGCTCAGTGGTAGAGTGCTTCCCTAGCATGCATGAAGCCCTGGGTTCAATTCCTCAGTACCACAGACACGGAAAAAGCCAGAAGCAGCAATGTGACTCAAGTGGTAGGGTGCTAACCTTGAGCATAAAAAATCTTAGGGCCAGTGCCCAGGCCCTGAGCTCAATCCCCAGGACTGGCAAAAGAAACTGACCCCACAGGGGCTGAGGTTGGGGGTCAAGCAGGAAGCCATGCCTGTGGTGGCTTCTAGGAGGAGGCGGAGTCCTCTGTGGATGGGTATGGCGTGCTCAGGCTGCAGGCTGGAGGTGTGTGTGTGTGAGGGTAGTGGTTGGGCAGGCAAAGACTGAAATGTTTTCCCGCTTGGTGCCAGCCTTCAGTGCTTGCGCTCCACCCTGCCCCTGCAGACGCAGACATGCAGATCTTCGTGAAGACCCTGACGGGCAAGACCATCACCCTCGAGGTCGAGCCCAGCGACACCATCGAGAATGTCAAAGCCAAAATCCAGGACAAGGAGGGTGAGTTTTGTCTTGGGAGGAAGGGCCATCTACCCACCTGGAAGCCTCTGTTGGGCAGGATTTCTGGACAGCCACACTCGGCGTCTGCCCGGTTTCCTGGGGTGTGTGGGGTTGTTTTCTGCCTGTGTGGAGCTGCACCCCTTGACCAGCTGCTCTTCCCTGCAGGCATCCCACCTGACCAGCAGCGGCTGATATTTGCTGGCAAGCAGCTGGAAGATGGCCGCACCCTCTCAGACTACAACATCCAGAAAGGTACAGGCTGGGGACCAGGACAGATGCCATTAAGGCTGGATCACCCAGCTGGTGGCCAGTGGTTTACTAGCCATTCTTTGTTCTCCTAACTGGTGGGCTTCCAATGATCTCGGCTGGGGATGTGACCCTCTGGTGGCCCTGGCTCAGGCGCTCTCTCTGTTCCCATCCCTAGAGTCCACCCTGCACTTGGTGCTTCGCCTTCGAGGTGGCATCATCGAGCCCTCCCTGCGCCAGCTCGCGCAGAAGTACAACTGCGACAAGATGATCTGCCGCAAGTATGGAGGGACCGGGGAGGGGGTTAGGGTGGGGAGGTGACGGCCCCTGCCTCACCCACCCCACCATCCCTGGCAGGTGCTATGCTCGCCTGCACCCCCGTGCCGTCAACTGCCGCAAGAAGAAGTGCGGCCACACCAACAACCTCCGCCCCAAGAAGAAGGTCAAGTAAAGCTGGCCACCACCGCCGAGGGCCAGGGCCGCCTCTGCCAGCCCCATGCCCAGGGCCTAAATAAAGTTTCCCTTATGTAGACTGGAGCATAACTCGTGTCCGTTGCCTGGTCTGTGGGGGGAGGCCGCGGCCGGGACTTGCTGGGCTCCCTGATTGCTGTGGCCTGGCTCTTGTCTGCTCCCCTCAGTCCTGTGCAAGGGAAAACAGGACTGGCCCTGTGTCTTGGCTCTGGTTTGACACTGGGAGGTGGGCCCTAAGGCTGCAGAAGGGAGCTGCCCATCTCGGCTGACCAGGAGCAGCCTCTTAAGTGCGCCTGGGAGCTGGGCAGCGGCAGGCCCTGGCGTGCCCATGGGGGGGCCCGAAAGATACTTGGGGTGGAGTCCAGCAGCCTCCCAGTAACTGCTCCAAAGCCTGGATGAGCCCTGCTGGCCCGGGTCCCCACAGAACCACCGCAGGAGTATGACGGGAACCCCTGGCAACCCAGCCCGGCGGAGCGCCGGCCATAGAAGGAACGCTGGGGGGCAGGGCCCAGGCCTGGAGCTCGAGCCCCAGGTCGCGGGGCGATTTCCCTGGACCCCGACCTCCTGAGACCTGGCGCCCGTGGGGCGGGGCGAGTGGAAGCGCGGTCGCCCTCCCCGCGTGCGTCCCGGCGCCGCGGTCCTCCGGGCCCGCAGGGGGCGCTGGCTCGCGGCCGGCCGGCGCGGCGCGGGGCCCCGACTGCGCAGTCATGATCGCCGCTGCGGCCGCGGTCCCCGCCTCGCCGGGAGGCGCGGGGGAGCCGGGGCGCGGGGAGCCGGCGTGGCCCTGGGTAGGTGGGCGCGGGAGGGGGGCAGGCGGGCGGAGCGCGGCCCCGGCTCACACCCCGCGTGCCCCCGCCCCGCAGAAGGACGCCCCGCTCGGGACGCTGGTGCGGCGCATCCTGCAGCTGCAGGCTGAGCGCGCCCAGGCCTTCCGCCGGCTGGAGGGGTGAGTGCGGGCGTCGCGGGGCTGGGGGCGCCGGGGCGCGGGCTCCGGGCGCCGCGGGCTCAGGACGCCGCCTCCCGCAGCGCCCACCGCGAGTACCTGCGCAGCGGCCCGCACTACGACTTCCCGCGCTACCGCAACGCCGTGCACGAGGTGACCCAGGCCTTCGCCGCCGCCTCGCGGGAGGTGCTGGCGCTGGAAGCCGCGCTGTCCGGGCCTCGCGCGCAGCCGCTGCTCGCCGGCCACGTGCGCCGCCTGCAGCAGCTGGAGCAGACGCGCCTGGCCGCGGTGAGCCCCCGCCCGGCGCCGCCACCCGGACCCCACCCCCTCCCTGCGCCCCGCACCTCGGCTCCGCCCAGCTGCTGGATGCCGCGTCCCAGGGACCCCAGGTGCACCTGAGGCCACGCCCACTCCGGCTCGTGGACCCGCAGGCCACGCCCACAACCCCTGCCTTCTAAGGCTCCGCCCACTGTCCCTACAGCCAATCCCAGCGCATGTAGGTGAAGCCTCAGCCAGGTCCCAGATGTCCAATCCCCTCCCTGCACCCTCCCGGCGTTCTTAAGGTGCTGCCCGCCCCTCTGGACTTGGCCCCGCCCACCATGCTGTTCACCAACCAGGAACTTCCCTTCACTGAACCACGCCCACGTTTTACATGGGTCAGGCCCCGCCCCTCCGCTCGAAGCCCCGCCTTCTCGGAAGCCTTCACCTGGCCTTGAGCCGGATGGCGGCAGAGGGTGGCCTTGCGGGAGTGACGTGCTGTCCACCACCTCTCCCCCACTAGGTGGCCCAGCTGCAGCTGCTGGGGGCGCCGGAGCTGACCGGAGGGCAGGACACTCAGCAGGCGCATCAGCTGAGAATGAAGTGAGCGCGGCCCCCTGGGCCCCGCCCCCTCGGCCTGGGCGCCGGCTCCGGCGGCCCCCCGGGGGGTCTGCCGCACATCCGCCTGGTGACCCCCGACGTGGACAGCGCGGGCCCCGAGTCCCTTCCCCATCACGCACGCCGTGGGCGTGGCGCGCGGCCCCGCACGTGCCCGGCCGGCCCCTCGCTGCGCACACGCGTGTGCCGGTCCCCGCGCCCGCCCCTCCCCCGGCCCGGCCCGGGGCGGGCGCCGGCGGGCGGCGGGCCCGCGGCTCCCCCCGCAGCCCTCTCCTCCGAGCCGCAGCAGCGACTAATTCGGCCCATCTGGGTTTATTTATAGTTCCCATCCGCTCTTGTAGGGTAATTAAAACCATGGACGCGATCAGCGAGGTTCTGCAGGACCTCAGGTTTGATGCGGAGTCTGCCGAGTGACGGCGCGTCCCCCGAGACGACGAGGGCGGGGGAGCGGGGCCCGCGCGGCCGGCCCGCGCCCTAATAAAGCGCTTCCGCCAAGCCTTGCCCGGTCCGTGCTGCGGGGTCTGGGGCCGGGGCGGCCGCTGCCCCGCGCGGGAGACTGTGCGTGGACAGGCGGGCGTGCGGGGCTGTGCCCACGCCCAGGGCGGCGCGTCTCCCCCAGAGCACCGTGAGCCCCGCGCAGACCTCAGATCCTCCTTGGTGGAGCACCGGAACAACTCCTTTATTTGGAAAGACTGGGGGGGCCTGGAGAGGGGCCGTGCGCCCCGCACGGGGCACAGGGACGCCTCCCTCGTCCTCCGGGCGGCGGCGGCGGGAGCTCGGCCCCCCTGCGCCCCGCCATGCGGGGGGAGGAGGGTGCCGTCTGCTTCGGGTCCCTACAGCTTATCTGGCAGGACCTGCGGGGGAAGGGGAGAGGCTGAGCAGGGTTGTCCAGGCCCAGTGCCTGGCCCCTGGCCATGACCCGCCCCTCCGCGGGCCTTGGGACGATGGGGTCCGCGCGGTCGGGTGCGCACGGGGCGCTCGGCATGCTAACGGTGGCGGCTGGCCAGGCACCGGGAGGCGCTAAGTGATTGCTGGCGATGCTCTTAGGGTGTCGGGCCTGGGAGATCCGTCCCGGCACCCCGCCCGGGTCCCCCTTTACCTCTCGCCGCGCCCCTTCGGCCCGAGGGCAGGATCCCCTCGTCCTGTGCTTGGAAAGAAGACGGGGAGTGGTGCGGGCCGCAGCCCCGCCCCGCCCGCGCGGCCCCCGCAGCCCCCGGCCGCCCCCTACCTGGTGGCGGGTCTTGTGCGACTTCTGCATCCAGGCGCGCCACTGGTCGTAGAGGCGGAAGCTGAGGTTGGAGCAGTACGCGTGCTTCTTCAGCCAGCCCAGGAACTGCTTGAGCTCGCGCCGCACCGGGCCCGAGCTGGGCTCGCCGCCCCGGGGCTCGCACGCCCCGCCCGGGCCCGGCCGCTCTGCGGAGGGGGGGACGCGGTGTCGGCGCGCGGGCGGCAGGGGGCGCGCGCGGGCGGCCGCCGCGCCCCGCCCCGGGGGACGCGGAGGAGGGGGCGCCCGGGGCGCGGGGAGGAAGCCCCCCTCCAGGAACCAGGTGTGGATGCGGGCTGTGGGGGGGAGGGGACGGGAAAGGGGGTCGGACTCCGGGGGGACCGGCAGGCAGGCGGGCGGGACAGATGTGGGGGTGCAGGGGGGGCGCACAGACAGACCCTGGGGACAGGGGGACAGGACGGGGCCTAGGCTCTACCTCCAACACCGCCAGGAAGGAGAAAGGAAGGAAAACAAAAAAGGAGGGGGGGCAATGTGGGAGACGGGCCCCGGGGGGACCCCAGGGGGACCAGTGCGGCCAGGGCCAGGGAGCCCCCGCCACTGCGAAGGCCCGGCCAGGTGGGAGGCCCAGCCCGGCCGGCCAGCCCCACACAGGCCCCCAGATAAGGACATCGGCCACACGTCATAAATAAAGTCAGGGACCCGCTGACAGGCCCTGGCACGGCCGGGCCTCCGCCCCCCGTCTCTCCCCCTGCCCCCCCCAGCCTCCTCCCAGCCTCCCCCCGGCCTCCTCCGGCGGACGCAGCAGCCTCCTGGCTCCCGTGCAAGAATCGCAGGTGCTGGGCACAAGCGGGGGCCAAGGCCGGGCCCCTCCCCGCTGAGCCGGAGGGGCCGGCAGGGGGGCTGGGGAGCTGGCGGCCCAGGCCCGGCCCCTCCCAGCTCTGCAACTCCCCAGGGGCCTCAGTTCCTCCAGCCTCCTGTCGCATGACCCTGGACAGCACAGTTCCCACTCCTGTGTGGCCTTGGCGGGGTGCAGCTTCACAGGAGAAATGGGGGCGTTCCCTCGGGGTGCAAAGAAGGGGGGGGAGTGTAACGGGACCAAAGCCTCCCTACCTCCCACCTCCACACGCCATGGTGGCCCGTGCCAGGGGCCCTCCTGGGTACTGTGCAGCTTCAATCCTCAGGATACCCGAAACAGGGACCCCAGACACCCCCCAGATGGGGAAACTGAGTCCAGGCTTCCCAAGGCTTGATCCCCTCCCACTCACAAAGGAGAGAGTGGGGGTCCAGAGACATGGAGAAACCCCAGAGGGTGCAGCAAGTGAGCTCCAGCCCCACCCCTACTTTCATCTAAAGCTGGGGTCCACTGGGACCCCAAGCTGGGGCCTCCTCTCTACTTCCTGCACTCAGGAGGCTGAAGCGGGAGCACTGGGAGCTCCAGGCTGGGCTGCAGGACTCAAAAACCCCCACATCAGTCAGGCTGCTCAGGAGGCTGAGATCTGAGGATCGCAGTTCAAAGCCAGCCCGGGCAAGAAAAGAAGAAAAGTCCCCGTGAGACTCAACACCAATAAACCACCAGAAAACCAGAAGTGGTGCTGTGGCTCAAGTGGTAGAGCACCAGGCTTGAGCTGAAGAGCTGAGGGACAGCGCCCAGGCCCCGAGTTCAAGCCCCACAATGGACAAAAGCAACAACAAGGGCCACGGATGTAGCTCAGGGGGCAGAGCATAAACCCGAGGCCCTAGGTTCAATGCCAGCACCGCAGACCAAGGGGGAGGTGTGCTGAGGGCCTTCACCCCGCAAGCGGTGCTGCCGGAGGACATTTGGTCATGTGTGCAGGACGCCAGCCTGGGGGAACCCTTTACTCTCTTGGGGGGAGTGAGGGGGGCCAGGCCGGTCTTGGGGGGGGACTCACCGCTCCGGGGGGTGGAGGCTGCGGTGGCGTGACTCCACTCGCTCCAGATCCCAGCTTTCTTGGAGCCGTAAATACCAAACGGGTTGCAGCGGACTTGCACGAAGTACACTGTGCCCGGTTTCAGACCGGCCAGACGGCAGGAGGTCTGGTTGCTGACATCATCGACCACCTGCCCATCCCCCACAGAGGTCAAGGTCAGAGATCTGGGGCAGGGGCGCCGCGGGGCTGGGGAGGGGTGGTCAGCCGGGCACCTTCCAGTCCACGCTGTCCTCCACGCGGTAGCGGATCTGGTACTTGGCTTGGAAGAGGAAGTCCTTGAGGGCGGGCGGAGACACCCAGCGCACGCTCAGCTGGTCCTCCAGGCCCCCCACGCGGCTCACGTGCACGTCGGGTGGGGGATCGGTGGTCACTGCAGGACAGGACAGGCCCTGGTTACTGATGCCCACTGGCAGATCGGGATGCGGCTTCCCAGGGGCCCAGCCCCAGGCTGGTGGCGCCGGTGGCCTGTCAAGGTGAGCTGTGACCACCCTAATTACCCAGAAGGAAGCACATCATCCGCTCTCCGGGGGGCGGCAGCTGTGTGAAGCGGGGAGCAGTGCCTGGCTGGCCAGACCGCGCGACCCGTGACACCCCCCCCCCGGGGTTGTCTTCCTACCCAGGGAGTTGCCAGCTGTGGCCCAGGGACACTCAGCCCCCCTCAAACCCCAATACTCCCAGGACGCCCGCTCCCCCACCCCAGCCTGGGAACAGGCCTGGGGCGGGGCTGAAAGGGTTAAGTCGGGACGGTTGGGGCTGAGACTCACCCTAATTAGATTAGGCCCAATTCTGCTTGCAGATCATCCACTTCCTGCCTCCACCCTCACCCCCAGCTCCAGGCCTCGGCTTCCTGGGGAGCCTCCCGACCTGGGCGCCGCCCCCTGCTTCCCCTGGGTCCCCTCCGGCACACCTGGGCTGCCGGGGAGGGGGCCAGGCGGCCGGCCAGGTGTTGGGGGGGGCTGTCCTCCCTGACTTAGTGGAGGGGCCTGGGCTGAGGGAGGGGCGGAGGCTGCCGTCCAACCACCACCAGACAGGCGGAGAGCTGCAGCCCTGGCTGGGGGGGGGGGGACACACCACGGGAGGATGCCCCCCCCAGCAAGGGGTCCCGGAAGCCCCCAGGCTCACCCACGTCCAGCACGTCCAAGGTGAGCACGTCGGAGCGGGCTGAGCCCAGGCGGTTGGAGGCCTCCACCCAGATCTCGTAGGGCGTGAAGAGGGCTAGGTCGCGGGGGATGTGGCAGGAGTGCGAGCCCACGCTGTGGTAGTCCTCACACGTGTTGTCCTGTCCGTACCACCTGTGGGGCGGGCGGGCGCCGCGGGCGTCACCGCGGGGTGCTGGGCATGCCCAGGGGCGGGTGCTCCATGGGGCGTCACCACGGGGTGCTGGGCACGCCCAGGGGCGGGCAGGCAGGCGCCACGGGGTACTGGGTATGCCCACGGGGGGGGGGGGGCGCTCCACGGGGCGTCACCGCGGGGTGCTGGGCACGCCCAGGGGCGGGCGCTCCACGGGGCGTCACCACGGGGTGCTGGGCACGCCCAGGGGCGGGCGCTCCACGGGGCGTCACCACGGGGTGCTGGGCACGCCCAGGGGCGGGCAGGCAGGCGCCACGGGGTACTGGGTATGCCCACGGGGGGGGGGGCGCTCCACGGGGCGTCACCGCGGGGTGCTGGGCACGCCCAGGGGCGGGCGCTCCACGGGGCGTCACCACGGGGTGCTGGGCACGCCCAGGGGCGGGCAGGCAGGCGCCACGGGGTGCTGGGCACGCCCAGGGGGGGGGGGCGCTCCACGGGGCGTCACCGCGGGGTGCTGGGCACGCCCAGGGGCGGGCAGGCAGGCGCCACGGGGTACTGGGCATGCCCACGGGGGGGGGGGGGCTCCATGGGGCGTCACCGCGGGGTGCTGGGCACGCCCAGGGGCGGGCAGGCAGGCGCCACGGGGTACTGGGCATGCCCACGGGGGGGGGGGGGCGGGCGGGAGCCGCGGGCGTCACCGCGGGGTGCTGGGCACGCCCAGGGGCGGGCGGGCAGGCGCCACGGGGTGCTGGGCACGCCCACGGGGGGGGCGCTCCACGGGGCGTCACCGCGGGGTGCTGGGCATGCGCAGTGTGTATGTGTGTGCTTCGTGCCCTGGCATGTGCATGGTGTGCATGTGTGTGTGCTTCGCGCCCTGGCATGCGTACGGGGGGGAGGGGTGGTTGGCTTCACGCCCTGGCATGCGCACTGAGGGCTTCATGCCTGGGCATGCGCATGGTGCATATGTGTGCTTCGTGCCCTGGCATGCGCATGGTGTGTGTGTGTGTGTGTGCTTTACGCCCTGGCATGCGCACTGAGGGCTTCGTGCCTGGGCATGTGCACGGGGGGTGGGGGGAGCTTCGCGCCTGGGCATGGGCGGTGGGGGGGGTGCACTTCGTTCCTGGGCATGCTCATGGTGTGTGTGTGTGTGTGTGTGTGTGCGCTTTACGCCCTGGCATGCGCACTGAGGGCTTCACGCCTGGGCATGCGCACAAGAGGCCCCAACAGAGCCAGCGCTAGTCCAGGGGGTCACACGGCTGGGCTGGGGGTCACACGGCTGGGCTGGGGCCCACAGCCCTCCCAGAGCCCCGGGCACCTCAGCTTGTACTTGAGGGAGTAGTTGGTGTGCAGGAAGGTCTCCCCACGTGCCCCGGGCGTCCAGCGGCAGGTCAGGTCCTTCATGTTCTTGGACCAGCAACTGATGTTAAAAGGTTTCTCCGGAGGCACTAGCGGGAGGGGGGGAGGCAGAAGCGATGGCCTGGACATTGCTCGGGTCTAGAGCACAGCTGTCCTTGCCCCTGGGACCCCCCCCCAAGCCTGGGCACAGACGCCCCTCCCCAGGTGTCCGGGGACCCCCCCCCCAAGCCTGGGCACAGACACTCCTCCCCAGGTATCCGGGGACACTTACAGCCCACATAGAGACAGGAGCCCGCCAGGATGCTGCCGTCCCGGGCATGGCACACCAGATTGTCCCCAGACTGCTGCCTGGACCCATTGAGGTGGGCCAGGGCCAGGGCCAGGGTGGAGGCGTTGAGCACTCGGGAGAGCTCGGGGGGCAGGCGGCGTCCATTCAGGGTCCAGTAGAGGCCGTCCGCCGTGGCCCCGGGCGGGTCTCCGTGCACCGAGCACGTGGCCAGCAGAGAGGAGCCCACCAGAAGCGTGGGGTCCTGGGGGCTGATCACGGCTGTGTCTGGGCAGAAGAGGGGGCCTGTCAGTCTGCTGACCGGTCTGCTTGACCTCCCCCCCACCATCATATGAGGATCAGTGATCCTGTGGCCAGCCCACGTGGAGCCCACATCCAGGACCTTCCACCAGTCTCACCTCTTGACTTGTTACAAGACCAGGCCTTAAAAAATGGCCACTCAGGCTGGGGGTTGTGGCGCAGGCCCTAGCTCCTCAGGAGGCTGAGATCTGAGTGCTATGTTTCAAAGCCAGCCAGGAAAGTCTGAGACTCTTCAATGAACCACCAGAAAAAATCAGAAGTGGAGTTGTGGTGCAAATAGTAGAGAGCCTGCCTTGAGCACAAAAAGCTCAGGGACATCACACAGGCCCAGAGTTCCAGAAGCCCCAGGATTGGCCAAAAAACACACAAAAAAGAAACAAAACCAACAAAACAAAAAATGCCACTAAGGTCCGAGGAATTGGCTGTGTACTTGGTGCTGACTCTCTCTCTGTTCTTTTTTGGAATGCCAATATATGGTAAGAAGACACTTTTGAAAAAGAATGGTTTTAGCCAGGTTTGGTGTACACACTTGTAATCCTAGCACTTGAAGCAGAGAGAGACAGAGAGAGGAGTTGGACATTTGTGTGTGCTCACTAGTAGTGGGGCTTGAAGCCAGAACTCACACACAGTCTTGCTTATTTAACTTCTTCCTGTTCAGGGCTAGCACTCTATCACTTGAGCCACATTCCCCTTCGAGCATTTTTGGTGGTTAACGGCAGCTAAGAGTCTCATGGAGTTTCCTCTCCAGGCTGGCTTTGAACCACTATCCTCAAATCTCTGAGTAGTTAGGAGGACAGCACTAGGCCTGGTTTTGTCATGGAATCTCATTACAGACTCTGCCAGCTCAAGTTCTCACCGGCTAGCCAAGGAGGGCAGGCAGGGCAAAGCACTGAAGCCCAGCTTCCTGACTAGACCCAAGAGGGCTATTTTACCAGGGGGAAACCGAGGCTTAGAAGGGGTAGGGGCCAGACATGCGCCTGGCCCCCTCTGAGTGTCAGCTGCTCCACTGAGGAAGAAGCCTTGGGGTCAGCCTGTTAGAATATTGTGGGTGCCCACGTTCAGAGCAGGCCTGGAGGCCAAGGACCTACCAGCTGGCTACCAGGGTTATTTATTCTCTGAGCCTCTTCTGCCAGTGAGGTTGTGAGATCTAATCCACCCATCCATCCACTCACCCCTCCACCCATTCATCCACTTATCCACGCACCCACCCATCCATCCATCCATCCACTTATCCACTCACCCACCCATCTTTCCATCCATCCATCCACTTAGAGACCTTACAATAAGCCAGAAGCTAGAGACACTTCAGTGACTAAAATATGCTAAATCCCTGCTCTTGTGGGCTTTATACTCAAGAAGGCAGCAAGGAAAACAAAAAGAATTATCCAGGAGAAAAGACAGTGTTTAACAGAAAGCTTAGGGACGAGAGCAGGTCGGAGAAGTGACATATGGAAAATGAGAGGAGCTATATAGAAACATCTAAGACATGGTGCCCAGGTGGTGGGCTAAGGCCCGGAAATCCAAAGGGCCTGGGGCAGGAGAGTAGAGGAAATGAAGTTTGGGAAGCCGGCTAGGGCCGGGACCTGGAGGGAAGGGGGAGGAATTCTTCCTGGGTTCCAAGCAGGGAGAGTTGCGGTTACATTTGCATTTTAAAAGGATTCCCCAGGAGGCTGTGGGAAGGGCCAGGCGGCCTGGTGGAGACGGTGCCAAGGATGGGGTGACGGAACCCCCCAGGCCCGTGCTGCTAGCAGCCGCCCCACCCTGCACTGTCCTTCATGGCCCCAGATGGGCGAGGTGGCAGGAGCGTCGTTCTGGGCTGGGCCCTGACAGCGTTTGGGGGCAAACTTGGCGGGAGGACCCGGCCTGGAGCCCGACCCGGCCTGGAGCCGGGGTTTCTCAGTGGTGTTTGGGGCTTGGCTGGGGCTCGCTGGAGGTCTCGGCATCCGTGCGAAGAAGCCGGCAGAGCAGGCCAGAACTGGGGAGGCGGGGGCGGCCGGGGGCAGGGGGGCCAGGGGGCCGCCCCGGAGGTCCCAGGCAGCCAGCCGCCGCTAATTCGGAATTCCTTCGGCATGAACTCGGGCATGCCAGCGTCTCTGCCCTGGCCCACCCACTGCTTCCTGCCCGCCCCCCCTCCCAGCAGGGAGGGAAGGCCCAGCTAGGCCTGCGGGGGACCCCAGGCTCATGTTGGCCCCCCCTGAGGTGGGCTCACACCCCGCCTGTCCCCCTGGCCACAGTGCGGACTAGGCCAAGAGGGACCCTGGGGGGGGTTCTGGCAGGGGGCACTGCCCAGTGCCACGCCCGTGGGGCCTGGCCCGGCCGTCCAGCAGCTGCAGCTGGCCTCCAGGGCGGGGCAGGGAGGACAAGGATGGGCAGGCCTGCTCGGGCCAGTCCCGGCAGGGTGAGGTCAAGCTGGGCTCCGGCTCCTGGAAATGGGGCACAGCGGCTGGGGCTTGGCACCCTACCTGGCTTCCCCCTTTCTGGCTCGGCTTTACACCTTCCTGAAACAGGAACACGCGCTTCTGCCGGGGGAGGGGGGCGGACGGGCGGGGAAGGGGTCCGGAGGGGAGCTACGGGGAGGCTGCTGTCCCCCCACTTTAGCCAGGGCACCCCAGAAAAACGTCCCAGAGGCGAAACACCAGGTGGAGCAAGGGTCAGCGGGGAGCCTCAGGCCGCAGCCCCCTGCGCTGGGCTTTTGGACACCCCCAGGCGTCCAGCCCCCCCCTTTTCCCACAGCGCCCCGCCTTTACAAGTTCTTTCCCCTCTCCCCAATCTGGAGCCGCGGCCGCCGGCCGTCATTAAAAGGGACGCCATGTGTTTTAAAAGGGAAAAGTGTGAGAGCGCGAGGCGGGCTGGCGGAGGGCGGGCGGCCGCCCCTGCCCACCCCGGTCCCGCCGGGTCCCCGCTGCCTCTCAGCGGCACCAGCTGCCCCTTTACGACCCACCCGGCTGCTGGTCAGGTGCGAGGACGCACCGTAAGTGGAAACACATTGCGGAGATGTAGGAGCTCTTACTTACACGCCCCCCCAAAACCAAAGGGGGGGACGGAGCCGAGCGGCCCGCACCGCCCCGGCCCGGCCTCCCCTCCGCCCGCCAACAAAGCGCGGCCCCGGCGGGGCGACCCACACCCACGGGGCCCGCGGCCGCCCGGGGACCCGGAGTCCCCGGCCCGCCTCGGAGAGGCTCGGGCCCGCGCCCCGGGCGCCGTACCCGCCTCGGCCTCCGCTGGGAGAGCGCGGGGCAGCCGGCGTCCCCCGCCCGGGCGTGGAGGCCGCGTGCGCCCCGGCGGTGCCCCGGGCGGCGGGCGCGCAGCTCGGGGTGACGGCGCCCCGGGGCGCCTTTGTGTGGCTGGGCGCGTCCGCGGGGCCGGGCGGGGCCGGGGCGGGCGCCAGGGGGCCTCGGGGCGCGGGGAGCCGCGGGCGCCCCCGAGCTCATGCAGACCGGCCCCGGGGAGGGCGGCCCGCCGGAGGGGGCGTCCCGAGGCCCGCCCGCCCCGCGGGGCTCGTCCTGCGCCGGGCCGCGCCCCAGAACCGGGCCCCGCGTCCGAGGCCCCGCGGGCTCCGGCGTCCCGGGACCGGCTGCCCAGGTGAGGGCGCCCCGAGGGCCGCGCCCTGCGCCCCTTCCTTTGTTCCCGGCCCCAGGTGGCGCCCGCACCCAACCCGCCGCCGGGCGCGGGCTACTCACGGGCTCCGGATCCGGCTCGCGGCGCCCCGAGGACGCAGAGCAGCAGCAGCGGCAGCAGCGGCCGCGGCCAGCGCGCGGACGGGGCGGCGGGGCCCGGGCCGCCGGCGGGCATCGGGCCGGCGCTACCGGGGCGCGGGGGGCCGTGCGCGCGCGGGGTGCGGAGGGAGGGAGGGACCGGGGCGCCCGCACGACGCCGGGCGCGGACGCGGAGGCCGGAGCGAGTCCGAGCAGCCGGGTTGACAAGGCGCTAACCGCCGCTGGCCCCGCCCGGCCCCGCCCCCGGCCCGGCCCCGCACCGGCCTCCCGCCGCCCGGCCCGGGCACCGCGCCCCGCCCGGGCGGCCGCCGCCCCGCGCGCCCGGCCCCGGTCCGCTCCTCCGCGCGCCCGGCCCCGCCCCGCCCGCTCCCTCCCCGGGGGCTCCGCGGGCCCGCGCCCCGCCCGGGCGGCTCTGCGTCCCCCCCTCCCCGCCAGGGCGCCCGCGGAGGAGCCCGCGCCGGGTGGGAGGGGCCGGGCGGCGGCGGAGGGGCTGCTCCCGGCCGCGCCCGCGAACCCCGCGGAAAACCCGCCCCGCGGCCCGGGGTGGGGCCCGGGCGGGGCCGGGGTGGGGCGCGGAGCGGGGTGCGGACGGGGCGCCCCGCGGTGAGTAATCCCGCCGCGGGCCGCGGGCAGGTACCGGGCTCGGGTCCTCCCGCGCGGCTGCGCGCGGCTCCGCTCGATTTCCGGACCCCCCCCCCCCCGCGCATCCTTCCCCCCTCTTTGTCTTCACCCAACCCGGTGCCCACGGGGTCGAGCCGAACCCGGCCCCAGAGGCCGCCGTGGGAGCCGGGGTGACCCCCTACCGGGGGCCTGCCCCCCTCGACGACCGGGGACGGAACCCGGGGACTCCAGGTCCCCAGTGTGGACTCGGGGTGGGCCCCGCCCGGCTCGGGTCCTGGGCGCCCTCTCGGAGGTGGGGACCGGGCTCCGGGGTGGCAGGCGGGGCCTGGCTTCCCGGACACAGCTCCCCTGGAGGAGCCTGGGGGGGACCGGGGCCCCATCTTCAGCCTCCACCCACCCAGGTGCTCCGGCCTGGGACCCGGCGCGCCCCCCGCGTCCCATCCGTCAGCAGAGCCTGCCAACACCGCCCCCCGCGGTTCCCACGCCCGCCCCCGCGGCCCCCGTGGGGCGCCCCCCCCCCCCGCCCGCCTGCGCCCCTGGCACGCCAGGGAGCTGGGAGAGGAAGCCGGGCGGGCGCCGCCCCGCACCCCGGGCCTCCGCGCCGGCGGCTCCGACTCCGTCCCGTCTCCGCCGCGAAGAAGGGCCTGGCGTAGCTGCGCCCGGTTCTGGGAGGTTCTCTGCCCCATCTCCTCCGCGAGGCCCAGACCGCAGGCCTAGCCTTCCGACCTCTTCCGGCCCTCGGCGGTCCTGGCAGCACCGATCCACGCCGGCGTGCGCTGCTCCAGCCCGAGAAGGGAACAGGACTCCACGGAGGGACCGGGGAAGAGCTCAGCCGACAGGCGCCAAGTGGAAGGTCAGGGGCTTCTCAGGCCCCGCAGAGCGCGAGCCGGGTCCCCCCACCCGGCCCGGCCAGGGGTGCTCCGGCCACCCTGAGCCACTCCCGAGGCTGGAGGTTCGAGGCCAGCCAGGGCCGGAAAGCCCGGGAGAACCAGTAAACTACGAGTGGCTCTGCGGCTCAAGGGGCAAAGTGCCGGCCTTGAGCGAAACAAGCCCGGGACGGCGCCCGGAGCCGGGGTTCAAGTCCCCAGACGCCTGCAGCCCGACGACGCCTGCAGCCCGACGACGCCTGCAGCCCGACGACGCCTGCAGGCCGAGGCCCCCGCTGGCCCTGGCCCGCGAGCCGGCCCAGGCCTGTGGTCAGCCCTGGCCCGCGAGCTGACCAGGCCGGTGGACAGGCCGGTGGGCAGCCCTGGCCCGCGAACTGACCCAGGCCGGTGGACAGGCTGGTGGGCAGCCCTGGCCCGTCCTTACCCACCCCACCTCGGGCAGCCAGAGCCCAAACCTCCCACTTCGGGGAAGAGTGGACCCCAGATGCCCCCCCCAGTGAACCCCTTCTTTCCTTACCCTGTTTCATTTAACAGAATTTCTGGCAAATATTGACCCAGGTCCTTCAAGGAGACTGGGAATGTACTGGAAGGCCATGGCCAGGTGGAGGGGGGGAGGTGTGGAAATGGGGGGGGGGGCAGGGCCCTCTCTCAGGCCAAAACCTTCCATGCAGGCAGGATGCCCAAGAAGTCAGGGCTGGGCTGGGGGACCTCAGGGGTCCCAAGGAGGAGCCGGGCCAGGGGCCAGCCTGACCCCTTCCCGGGACCCCCAGGCCCTCGGGGGCGCGGGCTGGGTGGGGGACAAGGCCAGTGCGCCCTAGGCTTCCGGTTGTAGGGATGGGGTCCACGTGTGTGGGGGGTCCCCTGTCCGCGGCACCCAGGAGGCACCGAGTCCCAGCGAGGCCCCTCCCCGCCCGGCGCCCGCCTCCCCCCGGGGTCGGGCCGAGGGCGGCGGGGCACAAAGGCCGCTTGTCCGCCGCGCGCGCCCAGCCCGCGGCCGCGGTGCCGCTGATTCACGGCGGGGCGGCGCCCGTCCGGCCCCGGCGCCCCCCGCCGCCCCGGGGGGTCGGAAGTGGGGGCGGGGGCGGCGCCGGCAACTTTCCCTCTCAACCCCCGAGGAATGTCGGCGGATTTCCTGAAACCCGACCCGGCCGCCGCCGGCCGCCCGCCCTCACCTGCGCCGGGCCCGGGGGGCGGCGCGGGGGGCGCGCACCTGGGGCGGGGCCGGGGCGCACCTGGGGCCCGGGGGCGGCCGGCGGCGCCCGCCGCGCCTCCGCACGCCCCCCGCCTCAGTGTCCCCGGCGGGGCGGGGCCCGCGGCCGGGGGAGGGGCGCCGCCGTCCAGATGTCCGCGGCGCGCCGGGCACAGCCGCGCCTGATTAAGGCACGTGGGGGCCGCGGAGATGAAAGCGGGGCCCGCGCCGCCCGCCGGAACCTGCGGCCCCGCGACCCCGCGGCCGCCCCGTCTGGGGGACGGAGCCGGGGCGGGGCGGCGGCACCTGCGGCGGGCGGGCCCGGGGCCCCCGGCCTCCGGCCCCGCCACCCCGACCCCTCCCCGGCGGGGGCCCGGGACCTTGGGCCCTGGGGCGCGGGCGCGGGGTCCCGGCGCGCTGGGCGGGGCCGGGGGGCGCGGGGGTTGGGGTGTCCCATCCCCGCCCCGCCCCGCATCCCCATCCCCGCCCGGGGCGGGAGACGCGCCGCGCGCCCTGGCCGGGGGTCCCCGAGGCGGCACCGGCCCCGCCGCCCCCGCCCCCCGGTGCGGCGGCGCCCCCGCCCCCCGCTCCCAGGCTGCCTCGCTCGGGTGACGTCAGCGCCCGGTCCCCGCCGTCCCCGCTCCCGGCCCCGCGTCCCCGTCCCCGCGTCCCCGGCCCCCGCTCCGGCCCCGCCATGGCCGCCCTGGCGCTGCTGCTGCTCCCGCTGCTGGCGCCGCCCGCCGCGCCCGCCCGCGAGCCGCTGGCCCCGCCGCCACTCGGGGACGCCGGGAGCTGCCCGCAGCGCTGCCGCCAGCGGGAAGCGGGCCCGCCGCCCGCGCAGGTGCGGAGGGGCCGGAGGGAGACGGGGGGGAGGGAGCAGGAGCGGGGTGCGGGGCCGCGGGGGGGGGGAGGATCGGGGTGCGGGGCCGCGGGGGGGAGGATCGGGGTGCGGGGCCGCGGGGGGGAGGATCGGGGTGCGGGGCCGCGGTGGGGGAGGCTCGGGGTGCGGGGCCGCGAGGGGGGGAGAAGTCCCTCGGGGAGTGGGGAGGATCGAGGTGCAGGGCCTAGGGGGGCAGGATGGGGTGCGGGGCTGTGGGGTGAGGATGGGGGTGCAGGGCCGCGTGGGGGGAGGATGGGGTGCAGGGACGGGGGGGTGTGTGGAGGATCGGGTGCGGTCCCGCGGGGAGCGGGAGGATCGAGGTGAGGGGCCCAGAGGGGGCAGGATGGGGTGCGGGGCTGTGGGGTGAGGATGGGGTGCGGGAAGGGGGGAGGATCGGGGTGCAGGGCCGCGGGGGGGAGGCTCGGGGTGCGGGGAGGGGGGAGGATCGGGGTGCAGGGCCGCGGGGGGGGAGGCTCGGGGTGCGGGGAGGGGGGAGGATCGGGGTGCAGGGCCGCGGGGGGGAGGCTCGGGGTGCCGGGAGGGGGGAGGATCGGGGTGCGGGGCCGCGAGGAGGGGGGAAGTCCCTCGGGGAGCGGGGAGGATCGAGGTGCAGGGCCCAGGGGGGCAGGATGGGGTGCGGGGCTGTGGGGTGAGGATGGGGTGCGGGGCTGTGTGAGGGGGAGGATCGGGGTGCGGGGCCGCGGGGAGTGGGGGGTTGGCCCCGGCGCCACCCCCTCCCGTCCTCATCCCCTCCCCAGAGGGACCCCGCGGTCTCTGTGGTGTGCGGGGCCTGGGGCTCGAACCCTGGGTCGGGGCCTGTCCTCCCCACCTCCCCCCCTTGCTCTTTTTCTCTTTGCTGGTGCTCTACGACCTGGGCCACACCGGTGGCTTTCTGATGACTCACCAGAGCGGCTCTAGGGGACTTTCCTGCCCGGGTTGGTTTTGAACTGCGATCCTCAGCGTCCTGAGCAGCCGGGGCTGCGGGTCCAGTCCTCCCCTCTCTGTTTCTGTGTTTTAACGGGGAAGCCAACCTTGCCGGAGCCCCCCTTCTCCTGAGCCCCTGTCCCCCCAGGCCGAGCCGGAGGCCCCCTCCGCGTCACCCTACGACAAGGCCGTGCTGGTCAGCGCCTGTGAGCGGGGCTGCCGCCTCTTCTCCATCTGCAGCTTCCTGGCCCAGAGCTCCGAGCCCAACGCCACGCAGGCCGAGTGTGACACAGGTGAGGCGGAGGTGGAGGGCGGGGGGCGCTGGGGGGCACCGGCAGCGGCCCCACTGTGCTCTGCCCCTCCCAGCCTGCCTGGAAGCCTACGTGAAGGGCTCGGAGCAGCAAGCCTGCAGCTGGGGCTGCTGGAGCCAGACCACCCTGCCGGAGCTGCTGCCAGAACAGAAGGTGGGTGTCCCCCCGAACCCTGCACCCCAAGACCGAGGGCCGACACCAGCCCAACCCTGCTGGGGGACACATCCCAGCAATGGAGCTTCACTCAAATCTCTGTGTGTGTGTGTGCCTGTGTGTGTGTGCGCGTGTGCACGGCCAGGTCAGCTCTGGGAGTTGAGAAGTTGACCCTGAGTTTCTTCATGTTCAAAGCTGGTGCTCTACTTTTTTTTTGTTTTGGTCTGGTCGTGGGGCCTGAACTCTGGGCCTGGGCGCTGTCCCTCAGCTCTTCAGCTCAAGGCGAGCGCTCTACCACTTGAGCTACAGCGCCACTTCCGGTTTTCTGGTGGTTTATTGGAGATAGGAGCCTCACAGTCTCTCCTGCCCGGGCTGGCTTTGAACCGCGATCCTCAGATCTCAGCCTCCTGAGTAGCTAGGATTACAGGCGTGAGCCACCAGCGCCCGGCTGTTTGGATTTTTTTTTAAAACTATTTTTTTGTCTTCTTTTTTGGTACTGTGGATCAAACCCAGGACGTTGTACTTGCTAGGCAAGCGCTTTGCCGCTGAGCTACATCCCAGCCACTTCTGGTTTTTCATTGGTTAACTAGGAATACTTTTCTGGCCGGGCAAGCTTTGAACTGGGATCCTCATATCTGAATAGCCAGGATTAGAGGCATGAGCCTTTGGTGCCCAGAAAGCAAGCATTTTAACGTGAGCACTGTGGTCACTGAAGGCATGATCGAGCCAACGTTGAGAGGCTGAGGGAAGAGCATTCTCTTTGTGTTAGGGCAGACATACACACGATGCACATGGCATGGATGTTCACTGAATAAAGCACGTGTGTGTGTGTGTGTGTGTGTGTGTGTGTGTGTATTTCAGTCCCAGAACCCTGCTTGGCTGACTTTTCTTTGCTTATCCCCTCACCCAGAGGAAAGTTCTAGAAGCACCTAGTGGGGCCCTCTCCCTCCTGGACTTGTTTTCCACCCTCTGCAATGACCTGCTCAGCTCTGCCCAGGGCTTCGTGTCCTCCACCTGGACGTACTACCTGCAGACGGATAATGGGAAGGTGGTGGTCTTTCAGGTGAGCGTGTGGGTCTTGGGTGGACCCAGTGCAGGCAAGTGGTGGGAAAGGGGAGTGGTGAGTAGCTCATGGCACAGAAAACTCGGGATGACTGAGCTCAGGGATGCAGGATGGAGGAGCTCCGTCTCTCTCCACCCCCAGGAGTTTTCCCCTCTGACAGCCTGTGGCCTGCCAGGCCCAGGACATTGTCAGCCCTTTGGTCCTGAGGGGGGCCTGCTGGGGTTCAGAAGCCTCGGTGCGCTCTGTGCCCATAGAGCCAGCCTGTGGTGGAGGAGCTGGGATCCCAGGACAGCCGGCTGCGGCGCGTGGAGCTGACGTGGAGGGGATCTCGCCCCCAGGCCCTGGAGGTGCACGTGGGTAAGGCCCAGCCCAGCGGGGCTCATCCTGGGGGATCCCAGTCCCGGCAGCCTCCTGCCAGCAGGCTGGCGGAAGCGGGGGTCTCCGTCTGCAGCTCCAGCCGCAGGACTCGGGGTCCATCTCCTGGGTTTGGGGTTCACCTGGTCGTGGTCTCCTCCTCTGTTGCATATGGAGGGTCCTCTTTGGGGGTTCTTGGCTCCCCCTGAAAGGATGCCTGTCTTGCAGACCCTGTGGGCCCTCTGGACGAGGTGCGCAAGGCCAAGATCCGGGTGAAGACACATAGCAGAGCCCGGGCGGAGCCGGTGGAGCCCCAGGATGGGGACTTCCTCAGCTGCATGTCCCGGTGGGCAGGGGGCCGTGGGGGCGTGCGGGGCGGGGTCTGTGGTGGGGGGAGAGGGTCCCGGTGGGCAGGGGGCTGTGGGGGTCGGTAGGGTGGGGTCTGTGGTGGGGAGAGAGGGTCCTGGTGGGCAGGGGGCCCAGTCCGCGCCCCCGCTGAGCTGCATGTTGGCGCAGGCGCTCCGGGCTGCCCCGCTGGGTCCTCTCCTGCTGCCTCTTCCTGTCCCTGCTGGTCACCTTGTGGCTCAGCTGCTGCACCCTGGTCTCCGCGCCGCGCCCGCACCTCAAGTTCCAGGTGGGTGCGGGGGGTAGATGGGGGGGGGGTGGCTGGCTCTGTCCACCCTGGCGGTGACCAGGTGCTGGCCCCACGCAGCCCCTGACCCTGGAAGCGGACTGGCCCCCCTACCCGCCGGCGTCCCCTGGCTGCCCCGACAGCCCCCCGTCCTACAAACTGCGCCTGGACCTCACCAAGCTCTAGGCCTTCTTCTGCCGCCACCTCAGCCAAGGTCACGGGGAACAGGCCTGGGGCTTCTGCTCCCCACCCCACTCCCCCACCCCGTCCTGTCCTTCCTCCGCCCCCGGGCCCCAGGTGTGACCCCAGTCCTCCCTGTCCCTGTCTCTGGGGCAAGCTTTCGTCTATCTTGTGGCTTCGGAGTGTTTGAGCCTGTTTGGTGTCGCCTTTCTCTTCCCCCCCACCCCCCACTCCCTTTGGGGGGTGTCTGAGGCCATGGGGGGCCTTTGGCTCTGCTTCCCACCTTCCCAGCCGCCCCCCCCAACCCCAGGCCACGGGTGGGAGCTCTGTGCACAAGCGGGGAATAAATTGTGTGTGCAGTCTGGCCGGACTGGTTCCCGTCGGTTGGTGCGCCGTGGCTTTGGCCCCTGGCTCTGTCCCGTGCCAGGCACCGCCGGGCTGTGCCCACCAGCTGCCCGCCGCTGAGCTCCTCAGAGCCCGGTTCAGTCAGCCCACCCGGCAGTGCCTGGGTGCCGCCCTTGCGCTTTTTCACGCAGCATCTCACGAACTTTCCTGCCAGGGTTGGGTTTTTGTGGGGGTTTTTGGTCGGTCGTGGGGCCTGAACTCTGGGCCTGGGCGCTGTCCCTCAGCTCTTCATTCAAGGCGAGCGCTCCACCACTGAACCACCTTCCCAGCCCCAGGGCTGGTTTTAAACCAGGATCCTCACATCTCAGCCCTGAGTGGCTGGGGTGGCAGGCGTGAGCCGCCAGCCTCCGGGGCCTTGCTTTTGCTAGGCGGGTGCTCTATCACTGAGCCACGTTTTCAGACACGGGGAATGACTTGTTGGGGTGTCCGGGCCCCAGTGGTACCCAAAGGCCTGAGGACACTGTGCCCAGAAGCCCTTCCTGGAGCCCCAGGAGGGAAAGGCGCTGTGCCCTGCGTCCTGCGTGGCCGAGGGCCGCCATCCTCAGCCCAGCTCTCCTCTCCCCAGGCTCCACCCACCTCCATCTTTCTGCAGACCAGCCCTGGGGAATGGGGGGTGGGTGGATGGGGGTGGCTGGTGTCATGGCAACTGGCAGAAGCTCTCTAGCATCCTGGGTAGCACAGGGTTGCCATAGAAACTGGCCAACCTGCTTCCCTGGCGACGGAGACCCAGATCTGGAGCCCCAAATGTGTGACAGGACAGACGGATGGACGTGGAACCCTCCAGGGAGGGGTGTGCACCACCAGAGTCAGGGAGCACTCGGGCCTCGCCTGGAGCTGTGGAGGTCCCCAGCAATCCCGCTGTTCGCCTCAGGGTCCCCCCAAGGGCTGTCCCCCCACCCAGCCAGTGCACACAGCGCACAGGCCTCAGGAGGTCCTGGCCCCCACAGTGTCGTGTTGACAATTAAGCGGTAGCTTGTTTGCCTGCGTGATGATGGGTTTAATAAATGGCCCCCGTGGCAGATGGGACAGGCTGGGCGTCCGGGCCGCAGCTGGGACACACCCCCCAGACGGCTGCTCCCCATACATCTCTGTCAACACCCTCCCTCGCACCCCGCCTTGCCTGTGCTCCCCCCCCTTCCTGGTGCTGGGCTAGGTCCTTCCATAGAATGTTCACCAGTAGTGAATGTTCTAGAACATTCTGGAATGTTTGGTTCTTTCCTCAGAGAAGTATGGGGATTTCAACTTGGGGCTTGGACTTGCTCGGTCTGTTCTATGGCTGAGCCACACTCCCGGCTCTCTTCCACACTGGTGATTTATTTATTCTGCACTAATGGTGTACTGAGACTTGAGCTCACTTAGAAACAAGGAGATAGGTAGGACCCTTGGCCCACGCCTGTCACCCCAGCTACTCAGGAGACCAAGATCCGAGGATCACAGTTCAAAGCCAGCCTTGGCAGAAAAGTCCACGAGACCTTTATCTCCAATAAACTACTCAGGAAAAGCCACACGTGGTGCTGTGGCTCAAGTGGTGGAGTGCTAGCATTGAACAAAAGAGCTCTGGGACAGCGCCCAGGCCGAGTTCCAGCTTCACTGCCAACCAAAAAAAAAAAAAAAGACTAGCCAGAGCTACAGAAGAAGACCCTGTCTCAAAAAACAAATGCAGCAAGGGACTGGTGGCTCACACCTGTCATCCTAGCTACTCAGGCGGCTGAGATCTGAGGATCACAGTTCAAAGCCAGCCTGGGCAGGAAAGTCTGTGACATTCTTTTTCCTTGGGGGGGGGGGTCCGGTTGTGGGGCCTGAACTCGGCCTGGGCGCTGTCCCTCAGCTCTTCAGCTCAAGGCTAGCGCTCTACCACCTGAGCCACAGCACCAAATCCAGCTTTTTTTTTTTTTTCCTGCTTATGTGGTGCTGAGGAATCGAACCCAGGGCCTCATGCATGCTAGGCAAGCACTCTACCACTGAGCCACCTTCCCAGCCCCATGTGACATTCTTATCTCTTAATTAACAACTAGAAAACTGGAAGTGGCTCAAGTGGTAGAGTGCTCACCTTAAGCTGAAGAGCTGAGGGACAGCGCCCAGGCCCAGAGTTCAAGACCCACAGCCGACAAAAAAATAAGAAAGAAAGAAAAAATACAGAAATAGGAAGAGGGTGTTTGGGTTTATTGAAGTGGCCGAGTCTGGCAGGGCTGTGACAGCTGGGTGACGGCTTGCCCATCACCTAGGGGAATCCTTAGTGCTGTGTTTTGTCATCCTACTCTTTTTCTCTCTCTTTTTTTTTTTTGCCAGTCCTGGGGCTTGAACTCAGGGCCTGAGCACTGTCCTTGAGCATTTTTTTTCCCCTCAAGGCTAATGCACTGTCATTGTGCCACAGCACCACTTGCAGCTTTTTCTTTGTATGTGGTACTGAGGAATGGAACCAAGGCTTCATGCCTGAGAGGCCGGCACTCTTGCTGAGCCGCCTTCTCAGCCTGTCATTCTACACTCGAAGGACGGAAGGGAGCCACAGCCATGGCTGGCAGGGCCACTGACCTGAGGCCTCACAGCCCAGCCTAACGAGGAGCAGTTCATCAGACCCCCTGCACTTTACTGAGATGCAGTTTACCTTTGGATACGGGCGCGCTCTTCTCAACCCTGCTTTCCTTGGGCTCGATTTCCTCTCCTAGGACACCTGGACCTCGAGCTCTGACGCTGGGGACCAGGGGCCCGCAGCTGGCCCCAAGTAGGGGAGCAGGTGGGGAGGCCACTGCCCCAGGAAGCCAGCTGTGGACCAGATGGTGGACAGGCGTGTGGGCTAGGCCGCGGTGGGTCACTCACACACGCTTGAAAATGGGGCCTGTGGTGGCTTGGGCCAGGAGCCTGCCTGGGGTTCACGACCTTGGTCTTGCCTGGCCTGACGCCCACACTGGGCTTGTCCTGTAAAATACTCCTTGTTCTGCAAGCCACTGCGTCACAAGCACCCAGAGTTCTGCCTTCTAGCTAAACCCTGCCCATTGGTTTTTTTTTTTCTTTTCTGAAGGGTCAGTACTGGGGTTTGAACTCAGGGCCTGGGCATTGTCCCTGAGGGGGGTTTTTTGCTCAAGGCTGGTGTTCCCCTTGAGCCACCCCTCTGCTTCATTGGAGATTTCCTGCCCAGAATTTCCTGCCCAGGCTGGCTTTGAACCTCGATCCTCAGATCTCAGCCTCCTGACTAGCTAGGATGACAGGCAGGAGCCACCGGCGCCCGGCTTGTACCTAATGTCTCTTATATGAGAATTTGCCTCTGCCAGGAGAGTCAGTTGGTGCCAGGGGTAGGGCTTCCCCTCAGACTTATCCCCCTCCCTTTCTTTAATGCAGCACTGGGGATGGAACCCAGGATCTCGCACATGCCAGACAAATGCTCTACCACTGGGCTCCACCCATGTCTTCCCATCTCCATGCTGACTCCAGAAGGCTTCTGTGAAGTTCAGGCTCTTTTCTGCCCAGTCTCTTCCTCCCTCTCCTTCCTTCCTCTTAGGGAACCCCAGGATCTCTGCCCTTCACTGCTGTGCCACAGGATGGACACTGTGGTTCTGGGGTACAGCCCAGGGAAGTTCTTGGTTCTCATGTCTGTGTCTGGCATGCAGTGGAGCGTGGCTGCCAGGGGCACGTGTGTGCGTGCGTGCGGGCATGTGGATGCCATGCCTTCCACCATCTGGCTCATCTGGAATTGAGGCGCCGACCTTGGGTTCCTAAGGGGCGTATCTGCAGAATGTTCCAGAACAGCTCATGCACACATGCCTTCAACAGTTATAGGCCGATGAAGGTGCCCGGGAGGTGGGAGCTCTGTCGATATATGCAGCATTGCATCTTAGGTATTTTATGCAAGGCCTGAGCATCTGCCGTGTCCCGGATCTCTTTTCCCACAGATGGGAAATCAAGGTGAATAAAGATGAATAAAGGAGCTCAGCCTGGATTCTTCTAGGCCTTCGATGGGTGGAGTGGATACTACAGGCCTGCCTGGCTTTGGACTCCCAGAGCAGTGGGTGAAGAGAGAGAAAGGGAAACAGAGGAAGTCTAGGGGCTTGAGTCCAGTTTGGGAGGCTGGAGTTCCTGACCCCAGGACTTGGGGAGAGGGGGTGTGCACACAGGGTTGCGGGGTTAGGGCCTGGATTGGGATTTGAGTGGAAGATGGCCAGGTGATCTCATGGGGGTCTAGGGGTGACGATGGAGGTCCAGAAACCAGGAGGGGGGTGGGTGATGGACACCCTCTTCCTTCTGCCCACCTCTGCCCCGCTGGGACTCCCCCCAGGCTCGCCCCCCCACCCCCGCCTCGGCCAGGTCCCAACCACCGAGACCCCGCACAGACCACGCCCACAAAGGCCCCGCCCCTCCGCAGACATGGCCTTCAGATGCTCCTGCCTGCCGACCCCGCCCACCTTGGGCCAGGCACCGCCCCTTCTCTCCAAACTTGGACCCCTCCTTATCCCCATTTTGCTGCTCGCCAGACCACGCCCCTCCCCGGCCCAGGCACCCCTTAGACAGACCCAGCTTGGTTCTTGGCTCTCTGTCCCATCTCTATCCCTCCACTCTCCTCCCTTCATCCCAGGCCCAGACCTTCATCACCTGCCCTGAGGCTCCGCCCCTCGGGCTCAACCTCCCAGCCTTTCCCACCTGTTTTAGGCCACGCCTACAGCCTGAGGCCACGCCCCCATCATGCCCTATGCATGCAGACCACCTCCCTCCAAGGCCCCAACCGGCGGCCTGGACACTGGCCCCGCCTCTTGTCTCGGCCACGCTCATCACCATTGGCCCCGCCCTAGGTCTAGAAAATCCAATGGCACTCTGCATCCCATCGCGCCCAGAAAGGGCCCCGCCCCTCGCGCGGCCCCGCCCCTCGCGCGGCCCCGCCCCTCGCGCGGCCCCGCCCACGGCTCCTGCTCCGGGGTGGGCGCGCACGGCTCCCGTCACTCGGACGCGCGGCAGCGGCGGCGGCGGCGGCGGCGGCGGCGTGAAGATGGCGGAGTCGGGCGGTAGCGGCGGCGGTTCCGGCGGCAGCGGGGCCTTCAGCGCGGGCCCGGGCTCCGAGCGTCCGAACAGGTGAGTCCTGAGGCCGCGGCCTCCGCGGGGCAGCGGGCCCCCGCATCCCGCAGGTGTCCGCACTGAGCCCCCGCCGCGGCCCGGGCCGGCTCGCCCGGCCCTCCTCCCCAGCACCCCAGGTCCTGTGTGCGGGGTCAGGTGAACCCCAGGGGCTGGTAGGGGGCCGCAGAGGAGAGACTGAGGGAGCCTGCGGGCCGCAGAGGCCCCGGGACGCTGGGGTGAGGCCCGGGGAGCCTCAGCATGTGGAGACCTGGGAGAGCCCCTTCCCGGGGCTCCTCTTCTCAGACTTAAAGGACGCTGGCGTGCCCCAGGCAAGGCGCCCCCTCCTCCTCTTCACCAGACAGCTTGCTTTCTTCTCCACCGGCTCGTGACCTGTGTTGCTCCCACCCCCAAATTTGCCCAAACACTAGGTGTTTCTGTGCATTGATCGGGGTTCTCGGGCCGGACGCATCGCCTCTTTCCTCTCTTTCTCTCCCTGGTTGGGCAAAGCCAGCCTGATGCAGACCCTGAACCACAGCCCAAGGACAGCCTGCCACCCCTCAGCTGGCCCAGAGTTTCTGGCCCCTGCTCCTGAGTGGGCAGAGTTACAGGTGACAAGAATCTAAGCGCCTGGGGATGATTGCTGAACTTGGCACACATACACACACAACGTCGTGGGCTGTGCCAGGCCGCTGATCCTCGCGGGCTCTGAGCTGTTGCTGGCTTGGGGGTGAGGGCAAGGAAGTGGCCTTGGATGCGGTTTGGCACCTTGACTATCAGATGTGTGGGAGCTGGGAACATCTATGACCGAGATGACCAGAGCGGTTGAAAGCCCTTCGGGGTGGAGTGAGGGTGGGGCAAAGCTCTTGGCCAGCAGAAAGATCACAGGACTTGGGCAACATTCAGGGCTGAAGGTGGCAGGGCTCAGTGGCCAGGCACAGGCAGTAGGCAGCTCGGTGGCTCACGCCTGTAATCCTAGCTAGTTGGGAGGCTGAGATCTGAGGATGAAGGTTCAAAGTCAACCCAGACAAGGAAAGTCATGAGACTCTCATCTCCAAGGAACCACCAGAAGATCAGAAGTGGCGCTGTGGCTCAAGTGGTAGAGCGCTCACCTTGAGCTGAAGAGCTTAGGGACAGCGCTCAGGCCCAGAGTTCAAACCCCATGACTGACAAAAAAAAATATTTGGTAACCTGGGACAGGGCTCTTTTTTTGGGGGTGAGGGGGATTGGTTGATCATGGAGCTTGAACTCAAGGCCTGGGCGTTTCTGCTCTACCACTTTTTTTTTCTTTTTTGTCAGTTGTGGGACTTGAACTCTGGGCCTGGGTGCTATCCCTCAGCTCAAGGCAAGAGCTCTACCACTTGAACCACAGCGCCACTTCTGGTTTCCCAGTGGTTTATTGGAGCTAAGAGTCTCACAGGCTTTCCTGCCCAGGCTGGCTTTGAACCACGATCCTCTAATCTCAGTCTCCAGAGTAGCTAGGATGACAGGCGTGAGCCCACCAGCGCCCAGCTCCTCTACCCCTTTGAGCCACAGCTCCACTTCTGGTTTCCTGCATTGGAGATAAGAGTCTCATGGACTTTCCTGTCTAGGTTGGCTTTGAACTGCGATCCTTAGGTCTCAGCCTCCCAGTAGCTAGGATGTCAGGTGTGAGCCACCGAGGCTCAGAGGGGCTTTTTTGGGGGGGGGGAGGGGTCCGGTTGTGGGGCCTGAACTCTGGGCCTGGGCGCTGTCCCTCAGCTCTTCAGCTCAAGGCTAGCGCTCTACCACTTGAGCCACGGCGCCACGTCCGGCTTTTTTCTTTTTCCTTATGTGGTGCTGAGGAATTGAACCCAGGGCCTCATGCATGCAAGGCAAGCGCTCTACCACTGAGCCACCTTCCCAGCCCCATCAGAGGGGCTTTTTTTGTATTTTGTCCTCTGGTGATCTATTGCCCCGGCCTTGCACTTGCCTGACCACGAAGCCGCACTCCAGCCCGCCTTCTTCCTTTTCGTGTGCAGTACCTTAGGCGTGCTAGGCATGGGTAAGCATGCTACTGTCAAACCACATCCATGGCCGTGGCTTTTTTCTTTTTTTTGGCTTGAACTCACAGCCTCACGTTCATTCTTGCTTGGCTTTTTCATTCAGGGCTGGCACTCTCCCACTTAGCCATAGCGCCACTTCTGGGTTTTTTGCCGGTTAATTAGTGTGAAGCCAACCCAGGCATCTGTTTCTGTGATCTCGGTTAGACCTCTGCTTTCTTCCCTCACAGAATAACAGCTTCTCTTCATATTCCCTGGCTCTTTTTTTTTTTTTTTTTAAATTTGGTCAGTCATGGGGCTTGAACTCTGGGCCTGGGCGCTGTCCTTCAGCTCTTCAGCTCAAGGCGAGTGCTCTACTGTTTGAGCTACAGCGCCACTTCTGGTTTTCTGGTGGTTTATTGGAGATAAGAGTTTCACGGACTTTCCTGCCCGGGCTGGTTTTGAACCACCATTCTCAGGTCTTAGCCTCCTGAGTAGCTAGAATGACAGTGCCTGGCAATTATATGCCTTATAGTTCACTTTTTTTTTTTTTTTTTGGCAGTCCTGGGGATTTTCTCAGGGCCTGTGCACTGTCCTTGAGCTTCTTTTGCTCAAGGCTAGTGCTCTACCACTTGAGCCACAGCACCACTTGCAGCTTTTTCTGCTTATGTGGTGCTGAGGAATCGAACCCAGGGCCTCATGCATGCTAGGCAAGCACTCTACCACTGAGCCACCTTCCCAGCCCAGTTCACTCATTTTAACTGGACATTTCATTAAGGGTTTTGCTTTTGCTTTTGTTTTGTTTTGAGCTGGTCCTGGGGCTAGAACTCAAGAGCCTGAGATTTTTTTGCTCTAGGCTAGCACTTTATGACTTAAGCCAAGTTTTCACTTCCAGGGTTTTTGTTTGGTTTGGTTTGGTCAGTCATGAGGCTTGAACTCAGGGCCTGGGCACTGAACCTGAGCTCTTTCACTTAAGGCTACCATCTACCAGTTATGATCCACAGAGTTACTTTGGTTTTCTGGTGGTTAACTGGAGATAACAATCTCATAGCTGGGCACCAGTGGCGCACGCCTGTAATCCTAGCTATTCAAAAGGCTGAGATCTGAGGATCGGGGTTCAAAGCCAGCCTGGGCAGGAAAGTCCATAAGACTTTTTCTTTTTTTTTTTTGCCAGTCATGGTGCCTGAACTCTGGGCCTGGGCGCTGTCCCTGAGCTCTTCAGCTCAAGGCTAGTGCTCTACCACTTGAGCTACAGCACCACTTCCAGCTTTTTCTGCTTATGTGGTGCTGAGGAATCGAACCCAGGGCCTCATGCATGCAAGGCAAGCACTCTACCACTGAGCCACCTTCCCAGCCCGTCCATAAGACTTTTATCTCCAATAAACCACCAGAAAACTGGAAGTGGTGCTGTAGTTCAAGTGGTAGAGCACTCGCCTTGAGCTGAAGAGCTGAGGGATAGTGCCTAGGCCTAGAGTTCAAGCCCCACGACTGACCAAAATAATAATAATAATAATCTCATGGGCTTTCCTGCCTTGGCTGGCTTCGAACTGCAATCCTCAGATTTCAGCCTCCTGAGTAGCTAGGGTTACAAGTGTAAGCCAGCAGCGGCCTGGCTTATTGTGGCATTTATGAGACTGGGGCTTCCCACATTGTCCGGGCTGGCTTCAAACAATGGATCCTCCTGCTTTGCCTCCTGAGCATTGGGATTGTGGACGCTGGTATTACCATAGTTAGTGAGTTGTACATGTGAAACCAGGGTTTTAGCCCCCAGACCCAAAGTCCAGGAGTTCCAATTCAGGTCTGGCCCCTCACCCCCATAGACTGGCGGCAGAGAGATTTCTCACAGCGCAGCCATGGGAAGACAGCATGTCTGCTTCCTCACCGTCCTCAGGGTGCCGCTGTGGGCTGCGTGGGGGAGGCTCACAGTTGCCGCAGCCTGGTCACAGGTGTAGCCGCTTGACCACCAGCTCCGCCTTTGTCCTTGGAAGAGTTGGAGGCTGTTGTTACTTTATTAGCGGACTGGGACAGGAGCCGGGTGGGCTCCTGAGTTTCAGGCTGTTTGCTTTAGGACAGTGAGAAGGAGGACAGCCTGAGAGTCAGGCGTTGGCCTTCCGTACCAGGCAAAGGAGGCGCTGGCAAAGGGCCTACGGCGGGAACAGCCCGGTCACAGGTGGTTGATTGGAGATAAGTCTCATGGACGTTCACTAGGCTGGGGAACCTTGGGCCCTGTTCCCAGGGCCCGGCAAAGCAGCGTTTATGCGGCCTCCTACACACCATTACCAGCGCATCCCGTTATCTACCCTCTGTTCTTTATTGTCAGTGGCTGGGGTGTTTGGGCTCTGCTGCCGTACTTGGGATTTAACCTCAGGCTTGTGCTGGCTAGCCGTTTCTCTGCTGCTAAGCAGTGCCTCAGTCCTGGGCCTGGACGCCGTCCCTTAGCTGTTCAGCTCAGGCTGGCACTCCACCACTTGAGCTGTAGCTCCACTTCTGGCCTCTTCTGGCTGATTAAGTGAAGGGTCTCATGGACTTTCCTACTGCTGCTCCTACTGAATTTCTTTCTTTCTTTTTTTGTCAGTCGTGGGGCTTGAACTCGGGGCCGGGCCCTGTCCCTGAGCTCTTCAGCTCAAGCTAGCACTCCACCCCTTGAGCCACAGCACCACTTCGGTTTTCTGGTGGTTCATTGGAGATAAGAGTGTCAAGGACTTTTCCTCCTCAGGTTGGCTTTGAACAGTGATCCTTGATGCTAGCCTCCTGAGGAGCTTGGATGACAGGTGTAAGCCACCAGCGCCTGACCCCTACTGGGTTTCAGCCTTGATTTTAGCCTCATGAATAGCTGGTATATGAAATGTAGCAGGCTCCAATCTCGGTGTGTGTGTGTGTGAGAGAGAGAGAGAGAGTGTGTCCATTCGTGTGTGTCCATCCGTGTGTCGGTGTCCATCCTGGGGTTTGAATTCAGAGCCTGAGTGCTATCCCTGAGCTTTTGTGCTCAGAGTCTCACAGACTTTTCTGTTGGCTTCAAAC